AAACCTTAGGTCTCTACCATTTTGCACAGCATAATATGTTATTGCTTCCCTGAAATCACCCTTTAAACTAAAATACATTCCCACATCCCACTTGTAATCTGACATGTCTTTTGGCTGTTTGAAAATTGGATGCTTTTTTCTTAGAACTCCACTATTATCATCACTGTCACAACCACTTTGCATGTCCTCATTGTCATTGTCATTCCCTTTATCTTCTAAAGACTTATCATTAAGTTCTTGGACTTCTCCATTACCATCATTTTCATGACCAATTAGAGTATCAAGTTCATCCTCCCCAATCTCATCATACCCATCAGACTCATCCTCAAAAGTCATTTCTTGTGCACTATCATAATTGTATTCCTCATCTTCACTATCATCAGAAGATAAACTTAAGTTATCATCCACTGCAGATTTACCTTTTTCAACTCCAACATTACATTCTTCCCCTGTAGGTTTACCTTGTTCAACTCTAACATTAATTTCCTCAACTCCAACAGTATGTTCATCCACTACAGGATTCACTTGATCAATTCTAACATTACCTTCCTCCAACCCAACAGTGGCTTGATCAACTCTAAAATCACCTTCCTCCATGACAACAGTGGTTTGTTTAACTCCCACAACTTCATCATACATTTGACTAAGTAACTCCTCCACCTCATCTACAATTTCAGCAGGGCCCTCATCAACTTCATCAACAAAAACATCACAGTAGTCAGGTTGAGACAAGGTGTGTTCAATATAAATATCAACATTTTGGTGCACCCTATAAAGATCTGCAATTTCTAAAGCACTATTGTCATCAACAAGTGAATTCATCCCAAATTGAGGGTCCTTGTAAGATATTGTTTCAAACTCCATATAATCCAAGTCTTTCAATACACCAACTAGCTCAAAATAACTCCATTTGTCTACATCTACTCTCAAATCATCTACTGCTCCATTCTCATATGCACTACGACCTTCATCGGTGAATTCACCACTATGATGAATTTTGAGAGTTATGTATTCATCCATGATACATAATCATATTATCTAAATAATTAGATTTTACACTACAAAATTTACATAAACCCTAAATCTAAACCTATATCAGATATTTTCCTATGAGATTCGTAAACCCTAAATCAGAGAGAAACAAACTAACCTTTTGATAATGTATCCTTCAATCGCCTTCAATCCTTCGCGTCTTCAATCTTTCACGTCTGGAATAATGCTTAAATTGTCTTTAATGCTTCGTTAATTTTACCCCTACCATCAATCCTCTTATCTTCTGGGTAATGGAAAGTCAGTTCAAAAGGGATTTTGTTTTTTTAAGACATTTCATATCCACGTCAACAACATCAAGTCCACCTGGACAAACGTGGCAATTGTTTTCAAACTTTGACTAACGGCAACAGACGGAAGGATAAACGTGACACCATTTTAAAAGTTAGAGGACCAACTTGCCAGTTTTTAAAGTTAAGAGATCAAACTGGACTCCGAGTTAAAGTTAAGGGACGAAAAAATTTATTTTGCCTATAAAATTTTCAATTTTTCTAATAAGCTTGACTACTAAATGCAAAAATCACATTGCAGCTTTATAGAAATTTTAACCATTACATTCATTTAACCATATAATTAGTAAATGTAACTTTCTAAACATATATTTTGAACATTTCCAGATATTCTATTATCTTATTATATAATCTTTCCATTTTCTTTTATAAGTAAATTTTAATTTTTATATTTATTGATTAAATAATATATTTGAATTATATATAGATTAAATATATCAATTATTTTATAAATTTAAAAATTAAAATTTTCTTATAAAAAAGAATGGAGAAATATAAATTTACAATATTGAACATATTTAAAACAATGACGAGTTTGACGGAATTATACTGAATCACTTTGTTTCTAACGAAAGCTTATAATTTTAATAAAATAATAATATTAATTTTGGCGAAATTTTTACCCCAATAACCAAGTTTTCCAACACTATGTGTTAATATACCCAACATTTCAAGATATTATCCAATTTACCCAAGTTTCAAACTTTTTTTTTATTTGTGAGGGGGCGCTATCCAGGATGGAGTGACCCTTATAATTATAAGGGGGCGCCATCCATGATGGAGTCACCCTTAAAATTATAAGGGGCACCATCCATGATGGAGTCACCCCTATACGATTTTTTAAAATTAATTTTTAATATATAATATGTTTAAAAATATTTATTAAATAATATTTAATAATTAATAATTTTATAAATAATAATTTCTAAATAATATTAATATTTATTAATAATTAATAAATAAATAATAATTAATATTTTCATTAATAATTTCTAAATAACAAATAAAAATTAAATTGTATTTAATAAATAATATATTAAATAATAATTAATATTTTCATTTAATAACAAATGGGTACGTATAAGAGATATGATACACTAATTTAGTGTATCTACTACTAGGTCGGTGTAAATGTCCGCCTGTACCGCATCATCGATTACGTACATTTCTTGGTGGAGTCGGGTCCACTGTGTCGTCTTCAAGAAATTGGATCATTTTGGTGGATATTGTTGGTATTGAGACTGTGAATAAGTTTGTGTGAATGGGGTGGATTAGTTAGGATATGTTCATGGAGTTGTGGTTGTGTGAGTGGAGGTTGGGTTGGCGGTTGGAAATGGGGTTGGGTAGGTTGTTGGGGTGTTGATGATGAGGCTTGTTGGCGTGGGTCATTAAATACAATTTCTAGAAGATGAATGTGATGCGAGAAACACTGAAGAAAGCCGAGGGGGAAAGGGATCAACTTCGGACCAAGGTGGTTGAACTGGAAATTGCTGCCAATTTCTTAAAGACCACACAGTGGACCCGACTCCACCAAGAAACGTACGTAATCGAGGATACATGCAGACATTTAGATCGACCGAGTCGTAGAAATTAGTGTACCATATCTCTCATATGTACTCATTTGTTATTAAATGAAAATATTAATTATTATTTAATATATTATTTATTAAATACAATTTAATTTTTATTTTTTATTTAGAAATTATTAATGAAAATATTAATTATTATTTATTTATTAATTATTAATAAATATTAATATTATTTAGAAATTATTATTTATAAAATTATTAATTATTAAATATTATTTAATTGTTAAATATTATTTAGTAAATATTTTTAAACATATTATACATTAAAAATTAATTTAAAAAATTGTATAGGGGTGACTCCATCATGGATGGCGTCCCCCTTATAATTTTAAGGGTGACTCCATCATGGATGACGCCCCCCTTATAATTTTAAGGGTGACTCCATCATGGATGACACTCCTCTTATAATTATAAGGGTGACTCCATCCTGAATGGCGTCCCCTCACAAATAAAAAAAATTTTGAAACTTAGGTAGATTGAATAATATCTTGAAATATTGAGTATATTGGCCCATAGTGTTGGAAAACTTGGTTATTAGGATAAAAGCTTCAATTTTGGCCAGCTAAAAGATCAACAAGAGAAAGCTCTATATCTAATTTAAGTCTGAGACACTTTATATAAGATATTTCATATGCAAAAACAAAACAAAAATGATCCACATTCATTTTTATTTTTACATTATACATCATTCTCTCTTTAATATTGATAGAACAAGATTTAAGATAAATAAAAAATTTAGTTTTATCAATTGAGACAATTTTTATTGACCATAAAAAAAGTTTGACGTTCACTAAAATAAAAAATAATTATATTTTTTTAATATTGCTGACATAAAATGATATCAATTATTATTCAAATTTTTTTCTCTCACTTTTTTATTTATTATATAATTAAAAAAATAGTATTTTAAAATTTAACAAATAAATAATTCTTTTGAGGAAGGTGTAGTTAAAAAATATAAAAAATATAAAACTTTGAATGAAAAAGTTATAAAAAAAAATCTATAGGATAGTGATTAAATCTGAATTTCTAAATAATAAAAATTACTATTACAATATATTGATATAATTAAGGTTAAACTCTAAACCTTCCAAATAATAATAGGTAGCAATGAAAACTCAACCTAACATAACAAACATTTGGAGTTCACTCAAAACAAAACTCTCGTAGTAGAGAAATTGCGGAATGGTTTGTGCATCGATCACGTTTGGAGTTGACAAAGCCTCTCCCGTTACACCATGACCAGTCTTCTTCGCAATGATCTGAACTCTCGCAATCGCAACCACCAATCGAATCTCCGAACCTTAGTTTGTATTTTTCCCCCTTTCAACTCAGGTAAATTCATCTCTTTGATCTTTTTTATTTCTATATCCATTATCAAGCTTATGCGATTTTACTGATTTAAAGTTAGATTGATTATAAACTTAGGTGATTTTTGTAAACAAGGTGTTTGTTGAAATGCCACAGTGAATTTACTTATGTTGATTTTGCTTTTTTTGGTTTTATGAATGATATGTTTTCTAACATAAAGCAGAAACTGTTAAGATGCATTTATTAATGAGGAGTTAGATTGATTTATTAATAAAAGTTATCATCTAATAAAGTCCTTATCAATGTTATCAATTGAGGATGACAAATTATGCCTGCCAGCCAAAAACCTGCCATATTGATACGGCGTTATGGTTGCAGACACAGAATCTGTCATGCCATACGGCAAGTTGGCAACACTGGCTCTTTCAAGGACTGATGATGTTAGTGCCTTTCTGGATGTTGGACTGATGTTGTTAAGTTCTACGATGCGTGTGATTTTTGCATTTCAGGAAGAATCTTATGATTTGTGTTATGATGTATCACACGTTTCATGTAGGATATCAGTTTTGACTACCATAATAGGACCGACTCATTGACCTCAATATCTGTATTGTATAGTCGTCATCTCATTAAATAATTTAGTGAATATAGAATGGTTTACGGTTTTCATCAAACCATGCAATCGATCTATGGTTCTTTGTTCGAACGTGGACTTGTAGCATGCATAAAAATCAAAGGCGTACTTTAAGCCTTCAATCTTTCAAGGCACAATTGTCTTTCCACTTGCAAAACTGTTTCGTAAAGACTCCAATACTTCACCTTTGAAATCATCCAAGACCTTGTTTTTGAAGAACATGATTCTCACCGGCACTTCACTCCGTGCAAAGTTTCTCCTGTTGTGAAGGAGGAACTCGTCGATGCAAGCCTCATTTTGTTTGGCGTCTTGGTTTAAATCTATAAGTGGATTCAGTGGTAGATGTGGCTTGTTATCAAGGTGTATTTTATTTAAATCTATGAATGAATTCAATGGTAATGATACTAGTGGACGCGATAATGATAGTGGTGGTTGCGGTTGAGCGATTGATAAAGGCGGTGCAGATGATGGTATTGGTGGAGGAGCAATTGATAAAGGTTGTGGAATATATGGTAATGTTGTTGGTGACGGTGGTGGATGAGCTATTGATATAGATGATGATGTTGATGAATGTGGAGATGTTAATGGTGGACGAGCGGTGGTTGAAAACTGTGATGAAGCCATTTGTGGTGGAGAATTAGGATCTGCCATGGAAGCAAGAAGAATCATAACTTAATTATATTAAATCTTGATAACTTTTGTTTTGAGATTTATTTGATGATGATATTCGTAAGATAGTTGTGTTATATAGATGATGAATTATGAATTAAATATTGACACTAATCATTTTACTTTTTAAGAATAATTTTTTAAAGATATTTTTGTTAATTTTTTCATACACTTAATTTTAATCTATTTTTATTTTGTGGTGTCTATTCACAATGTTTACAAAATATGTCCAAATATGAGGATATATTCTAGAATGATACATTTTTGTTATGCTTATCTGTAGTCTACTTGGAGAAGGGGGGAAATGTATATAATATACCATTATTTATTTATGTACAATTTCATGTAATTTATTTAAAATCTTTAATGAATTTTTATCTTAAAATACTAATGGTACATTGCATGGTTTGATTTGTCTTAGAAATAAAAGGGTTTTTCTTGAGAATTCCGGCGCTCGTTGCATAGTCATGCCTTGTAATGTTTCGCATTCTTGGTATGAGCAAGTGTCTAATGGATGTTCTGTGACTTTTCTTCATCTGGCTGATTGTGTTGCTCAGGAACTTAAGGAAGCTAAGTTAAAGCCACTTGAAGCTGGTAGTCCTTTGAGGATTGGAGTGCTTGCAACAAATGCAACTCTGGCAGCTGGTTTTTACAAAGAGAAGCTTCAAAATGAAGTAATTTCCTTGATCTCATTTATGACTTCTCAATTTCATATCTGTGTACTTTGTTGGGAACTTTGTTTCTGTTCGTTAGGACTGAAATTGCAATGAATATACAAATTGTTTTCAATTTCATGTGTATTTTGTTACATTGTTGTCAATGACGATAACTATCTGGCAGTTGTATGATAATTTTACTCATCCCCCAATTGAAACATAAAACCAGAATTTTATTCTGCATACAATATGAAGCTGAAGTTAAACATATATTCTGCACACAATATGAAGCTGAAGCTAAAAATTGATTTTGGTAAGCTAGAGCTCGAGGCAGTGATGTTCGATATACGAGCAATCATGGATGATGTGTTGTCCCTATTTTCAGAAAAATCTCAAGGAAAAGGAGTAGAGGTAATATGTATATGTCTATTCTTCTGACGCTAACTCTTCCACTTCCTTGTTGAAAATTTTCAGAATCTTAACTTAACAAGCTTTTCATGTTTGGTTGTATTATTTTTTTGGAGCACGGTCAGCAGTTTATGTCTCAGATCAAGTTCGTCAACAGCTTATAGGTGATCCAGGAAGGTTTCAACAAATAATTACGAATCTCATGGGTGACTCTATTAAGGTAAGTCTATTGGATTCAAATAAAGACATTATATACCATATCAACCCTCTTTCAACTCTTGATTTTGTGAAAACTGAATTATGCGATCGTTTGGAAGTTCACAGATCCACTAAAGAAATAGATGATATGTTAAGTGGTTCCCCAGTTTCCAATGGTTGCCGAAGCTGGGAAGGATTCACAGCTTTCTATTTGATTGTATCGGTTGAGGATACTGGTGAAGGTATTCCTCGCAAGAGACAGTCTAGAGAAAAAAGTTCTGGAACAAGGTAAAGTAGTGTGTATATTAGCTGTCATTTCTATCTTACAGCGACACAAATTTAAGTTCCGATACATTTCGATCAAACTACATAACTATCTGTCATTTGCAGCACTGTTGTATCTTCAATTATAATTTATATTCTTTTGTATTTTTGTGTTTGATAAACCTAAATTAAATAATTAAATAATTAAGTAACTCTTTGATGTTTAATCAAATCCAGCATTGAGATTCCCATAGTTTTATTTGCAGTTTTAATCTGGTTTCTTTGAGTACTGCATCGGCGAAGTGAACTAGTTCGGTGATGGGTTCGAGATTCCCATCTCATCAGCTCAGCAATGGTCTGTATGTATCAGGCCGTCCTGAACAGCCGAAAGAAAAGGCTCTGACAATGAGCTCGGTTGCCATGCCTTATACGGGCGGTCACATCAAGAGGTCAGGGGAGTTAGGAAAATGTTTATTCCTATGGATGGCTCTAAATCTAGAAAATCAGGTACACGCCAAAACTCTGGTCCAATACCTCCAGTTCTTCCAACAACCGGTCTGATTACATCTGGCCCACTAAACTCATCAGGGGCTCCAAGGAAGGTGTCTGGTCCATTAGAGTCTTTAGGGTTGATGAAAGCGCATAATGCTGCTGTAGTTCATAATCCAGCTGTGACTACTCTCAGTGTGGATGATGAATATTCCTTCAAAAAGAACTTCCCTAAGCCAATATTGTGGTCCGTCATTCTGATTTTTGTTATGGGATTCATTGCTGGTGGCTTTATTCTCGGAGCTGTCCACAATGCTATATTGCTTATTGTTGTAGTAATTCTTTTTGGTGCGGTCGCGGCATTGTTCACTTGGAATACTTGTCGGGGAAGAAAAGCTATTGTTGGTTTCATTTCTCAATATCCAGATGCAGAGCTAATAACTGCCAAGAATGGACAGTTTGTGAAGGTTTCTGGGGTATGTAATTTAGTATTGACGCATATGTGTATAGTACGATTAATTAAGCATATGTAATATATGCATAAACCATTGATATATTTTATAACTTTTGAAGGTGGTTACTTGCGGGAATGTTCCATTAGAGTCCTCTTTTCAAAAAGTTCCAAGATGTGTATATACATCCACTAGCTTGTATGAGTATAGAGGTTGGGATTCCAAAGCAGCTAACGCAAAACATCGCCGTTTTTTTGGGGACTCCGTTCGACCGAGGTAAGCAATAATCAGTTCTATTTTTTCTTTTTAGATTGCCAAGTTTTATTTGATTTTGATAAAATATTGTGACATCTTGAAATACTTTGGCGATGGAGGTGAATTATATCTTTTTCTATTGGATTGTGACATGAATGAATGATGCTTAATCGGTACAGAAAATATGGAAGCTTTGAGAGAATTGTAGATAATTTGTAAAGAAAGGATCTTGGTAGCACTTTGCATCACTTGGTAATGGTATCTATTGTGTTAGTTATTAATTGATCGTTAAGGTTTTGTCATAAACAAGTTCTATTGAATGTATTTATGTGCCTTTCACTTATTACTTTGTTGTTTTGAATTTTAATATTTTGTATAGATTTGTCCTGATGTGTTGTTAAGTGCGACTGCATTAAATTTATGATCACGAGTTGGTTTCCATCTTGATTTATAATGTTTTTCTTTACCACAGCTGGTTCTATTAAGGAGTGGAAACCAAAGCCAACACATGCAATTAACCAGGCCTCCGGACCAGCTACCGTATCCGAGTCTTCCGTCGTTTCAGCTGAAGCTACCATACAGTTGCCGCCTGTGTCTAAGGTCCTTGATTCTGAGGAAGCTGCTTCTGAACTGCAGAAGAAGCTTGAGAACTTACGCGTTCCACCGCGTCAACATGTCATTCTTCCACACCATATTTTGGTTCTTGAATCTGAAATGTTTATGCTCCATTTGCTTCCAGGTCAGAAACAAAATCTCTTTATTTTTCAAAAAATTCATTTAAATTATTGATATATTATTTAGAGACTTTAGAAGTTTTGATATTTTACATAAACTTGATTTTGCAGGATTTAAAGGATGGAGAATTGGTGAGAATACTTCTAAAATGTAGTCACGTTTATCATTTAGAATGCATTGACGAATGTCTACAACAACAAGGATCGTGTCCTATTTGTAGAATTTACATTCTTCAATAGTTTTTATTTCTTGTCAAATCTCTTTTTTATGTGTTCCAAGAGAGTAGCTATAATTGCAAGTTTTAACTTTATTGTATGGTATCGTAAACTCTGATTTTGACCACATAAAATTTGTACGAGAGTGAAATATAAGAATTGTTATTTAATTGAATTTTGCAAATAAGTTATGGTTTAAACTTTTATATAAATAAATTTTTTTTAATAATATAACTCTAGAAGTATTGTTATTGACTATGTTTGGTTGCTTTAAAAATTTGAATGTGATTAGTGTTGTATTGTCTTATTTAAGTTAGATATTTGTTTTTATATTATTATATTTAACAATAATTATAATATTTTAAATATAAATAAAACAAATTAAACAACAAAAAATAAAAATATGAGAGAGAATTTGCCTGCGAGTTTACCTGCGGAATTTTATTTTTCTGTGACATTTCCTGCGAATTTATCTATACTACCTGCGATTTTTTCCTGCGACATTTTTCTGCGACTTCACCTGCTATATTAATTATCCACGAAGGTTTTAGCTAGGAACTGTAAAATAGCAGGTAACATGTTTCCTGCGGAAAATTTGTCAAAATCCAAAGAAAAATAGAGTATTTCTAGTAGTGCACATAACAATCATCTCTCCCACATGTTCAAAGAGCGTGGCATAACAATATAAAGCTTAATTCAGAAAAGTATATCTTGGGGTCCGAGGGAATAAATTTGTAGATATTTATTTTATATTCAGAAAAGTATATCTTGGGGTCCGAGCGAATAAATTTGTAGATATTTATTTGATAAAGAGAGGCATATAAGAAAATCTACGTAAGTTCGAAGAGGCCATTCGGATGGCGGCATCAACCACGAAGAATGAGGTGATTAAGTGCTAAATTTCTTCAAGAGGAACATCTTAACTCGGATGGCGGCATCAACCACGAAGAATGAGGTGATTAAGTTCTAAATTTCTTCAAGAGGAACATCTTAACTAGGTATGAAATCCCTCAGTCCATTGTGATGGATAATGAGACACAACTCGTACATAAGAACTTGAAGTGGTTGTTTGAGGATTTAAAGGTCAGGTAACCCTTCACCTCAATGGAACATCCTTAGACATATGGGAAGGCTAAGGTAGTGAATCGAGTTTTGTTGAGAAGACTGAAGTGGAGTCTAGAGGCGGCTAAAGGAAACTATGCAAATGAGCTTCCACATGTCCTTTAATCCTATCGAACAACAACCCACTCGACGATAGGCTAAACACCCTTTCGATTTGCCTATGGGACTGAAGTTGTCATCATTATTAA